AAAAAAAAAAGGTAATGATGTAGAAATTGAAAAAAAAAATCATATTGCAGATAGCACTATATTTCATGATTAATTTATTTAGCGGTATGCTTCTTGACAATGAATGCCATGTCATTCCTCTTGATTGTGTTTAAATTATTGAAAATTAAATTATTCAGTTTAAATTATTGTAAATAATTTAATTTTCTGATTCAAGGTGGCCAATATCAGTCTATTTTAAGGCTCACTAATGCCCTGGTGACATAGTGGTTAAGAGTTGAACTGCTAACTTCAAAGTCTACAGTTCAAAACTAACAGCTGCTCTATAGGAGAAATATGGGGCTTTCTACTCTAGTAAAGAGTTAGTCTCAGAAACTTATAGGCAGTTCTACTCTGCCCTGTGGTGTCTCTATGCATTGACATTGGCTTGATTGCAGTGAATGCCTAAGATATGGATATTTATGAGTTCCGTTTCATTGTTGACCATTTCCAGTTTTCTTAGATTCACACTTCACAGATTCCAAGTCCCAATCATTAGCAGATTTTTGCAGCTGTTTCTCTGTACTTTGAGTCATGCCCCATCAGTAAATGAAGATCTCACAGGCTTTAATGAACTCACTTCACCATGGTATAGATCTTATATTTCATGAACTATATTTACAAGTTACCTGAATTGTCTCCTGTGACCATGGTCCTAAATCTTCAAACCAGAGGTGTTTGGTTATGTCTAAGTAATACTATGCTTTCTCTGTGACTTGCTGTGTATATGGATAATGTACATGTATGCACACACATATTTGTATTACCATATGCCTACAGATATTTGTGCCCAGCTCCTTATATTTATAGCTATATATTCATATGGTAATCGTTCTTATTGTTGCAAATTTATATTTGTTACATGATTTACTAAAGACTTTCTTTTCTCTTGTATACTTAATGATATTGTATACCTTGATCAAGTTGTGTTCTAACAAGTATGTACTCTCTGTGCTTCCTTTTGTCCCGTTGTTCCAATTCTATTTTGAGAAATTTTTAAAGTTTAGAGGATAATATAACATATACTGACCTATTCACCACCCAGAATTGAAAGTTACTGCATTACTTGCAGGAAATGCCCTTTTAATTAAAGGGAGAAGAACACAGTAAAATAGATAAAGTTTCACTCTTTTTTGTTCTCTCCTCTTAGTCTCATCTTCCTGCCCACTATGTGCTATATTATTTTGAATAATTATATTTTAATTTGCATAATGCAAACAATTGCCTCGGGTTGAGAAGGGAAAAACATGACAATAACCCCTTTTCAAGGATGATCTGAGAAATAAGGACATGTGAAATAATGAATTTATCTTTTAGAGATCTGCACCCTGCTCTGAAGGGACAGTTGAAAGAATTCAGAAAGCATCTTGTGGAGAGCACCAATGAAATGGCACCTTTGAAAGTTTGGCAGTTGCAAGGTAGTGGAAATGTATAGAAAGCCCTTGCTTACATCTTGGTTATTTGTGATTTTTAAAAAATTCAAATTTTATTTTGTATGTTTATATAATCATAAGATGCCCACAGATTTTAAAGATATAGCTGTTAATTATGATTAATCACAGAAGATAGAAAGAAAGTACTTTTGTGGACAGATAACATAAGTGAAACATTAAGTCATATCTGTAAGCAGGATCTCTTGAAGTATTTTTGTCTTTGTTTCTAGAATTTTACAGTTATACAATATATACAATATTGAAGGCATGTAAACATAGCACAGCTTTGTGATTCTTTTCTGTTCAAAGAACTCCCTACCATCGAGTCGAGTCTGACTCACCGTGACCCTGTAGGACAAGGGAGAACTGCGCTGTGGGTTTCCCAGACTAGCACTTTATGGGATTAAAAAGATTTGTATTTCTCCTGAGTTTCCACTGATGATGACCTTTCAGTTAGCAACTCACTGAGAAACCA